TGTGCTAGGGACTCAGGTAGCTGGACCCCAGTGGGGCCCCATGTGTCTGCTAGGAGTCAATCCCCAAGTATGGTATGATGGAACACCAAGAGGGTTGTCAAGCCCTCAAGTAGTCATTCAGCTAAAGGACCCTAGTCTACATCCTTATAAAAAATAGTATTACCTTACGAAAGAAGCTCAACTGGGGCTAAATCCTCTTAATAATTAGCATTTGGCTATAGGATTACTGTTCCCATACTATACACCCATTTTATCCTAGCCAAACCATTAGGCAAATGTCACCTAGTATAAGATCTCAGAGGCATCAATAAGTCAGTGACACCTATTCATACATTACTGGTAGACCCATACACCTTTTCAGGATATATCCTAGGAGACTCTAAATGCCTAAATGGTTTCTTGTCTTTGATCTCAAAAATGCTTCTTTTATACCTTTGTGGATCCTAACTCCCAATATTTGGTTACCTTTCAATGGGAAAATTCCAAAACAAGACTTTCCCACAGTGAACTTGAACTGTCTTGTCTTAGGGTTGTAGAAACAGCCACCATTTGTTTGCATGGGCTTTAGCTCAAGACCTGAAAGTTTAAAGCTCAAAAACTGAGGCTTATTATATAGTTAATAGATGTCTTCATTTATAGCTCTACCAAGGCGTTAGATGATAAAAATACCAATTAGACTCTCAATTTTCTAGGAGAAAGAGGTTATCAGGTGTCTCAACATAAGGCCCAGATTTCTCAACAAAAGGTGACATATCTGTCATGGGTGGCTCAGAGTCAGCCACACACGGCCCCTGGCAGGAAAGGGACAGGGCTCTTTCATCCTGTGGGCAGATGTGATCTGGGCTCCAGGGAATCCCATCTGAGAGCACAGTTGTTTTTCTGCTTTGCTTTTTTTTTTTTTTTTATTTTTTTTTATTTTTTAGGGAAGGATCTACAAAGTGTTCTGGATCTCATTACTAGATTGGACTCGTAGTGACCCACCTGTTTACAGCCTCTCAAGAGCTAGGATTACAGGTGTGCACCACCACACCCAGTCTCAGTGGGGTGCAGCCAGCACAGCAGGCCCAGGAATCAAACTCCTGGGCCCTGTGCCTGCTTGCAGGCATTTTAACCTGCTAAGCTATTTGGCCGGCCCAAAAGATGACATATCTATTTTAACTCCAGAGATAAGACAACTATCCCCAAGGAGAGAGAAGATAATTTGCTATTTGGGCCTTCCAGAGTCTGAACAACAGCTGAGATTTTTCATTTTGGAATAATAACCAAACCTCTATGTGAGGTAACTCAAAGGATAAGGAACTGGATGTTTATCATGGGCAGCAGCCACTCAAGAGGCTTTCAAAACCTTAAAATAGGTCCTGAGGCCAGCCCCAGCATTAGGAACCCCTCATGTAGCCAAGCCTTTTTCACTCTTCATGAGTAAAGAAGGAGTAGCCACAGGAGTGGTTTTCTTGATCAAGAAAAGCGACAAGTTGGCTACTTTTCCAAGCAACAAAATAGAGCTGCCACAACACATTTAGCACAGGAAGCTTCTAATATAACATCTTAGGCCAAATCTCTTCATTTTAACCCCACACCAGGTTAAGGTTCTGTTAGAACTCAAGGGACACTTGTGGATGGCTGGAGAAAGGCACACTAAACATCAGTCAATCCTTATTGAAATCCCGGGCCAAAATAGTTCAGCGGATTAAAGCGCCTACAAGTAGGCACAGTGACCAAGTTTCGATCCCTGGCCTGCTGTGCTGTTCCCACCTCCAGGGTACACTGAGATAGCGATTGAGACTGGGCGTGGTAGTGTGCACCTGAAATCCCAGCACTTAGGAGGCTGAAACATAGGAGAATCACTATGAGTCCAATCTACATAGTGAGACACTGTACACCTTGTAGGCCCTGTCCTAAATACAGAAAAGAAAAAAAAAAAAATTCTTATTGAAATCCCAGATGTTTCTCCTCAGTCTTGCACCACTATAAACCCAGCCAACCTCCTCCCAACCAAGCAACAGATAGAACCTAAATATAAACAATGTGGTGCCCCAAATTATGCCAGCTGCCCTGATCTGAGGGACCAACCATTCACAGATATGGCTAGCACAAGGTTCCCCGGTGGCAGTAGCTTCGATGGCATTAGGAGGGCAGACTATGCCACAGTCAGCCCTACCAAGGTCATTGACGAAAGAGGACTTCCCACTGGGATTTCTGTCCAAAAGGTAGTACTTTTTGCCCTCATTCATGCTTTTCAACTAGCCCAGGGCAAGAGGGTCAATATATATCTAACTCCAAATACACCTTTCTGATCCTACATTAAAGAAAGATAACTTTTGACTTGTTGCTAATCTCCACTAAAATATGGACCAGAGATCCTCAAGCTTTTCAAGAGAGTAAATCTCCCAAGAGAGATAACAGTTGTCTATCGCTGAGTATGTCAAGCCTCCTTGAATCCAGTCTTCTCGGGTCACTCTAAGGCAGTGTCTTCTCATATTTGATCTGTTTTCTGTCACAAAATCAGATGAGTGAAACTTTGCTCCTTCTAAGTAAAGAAAAACGTATGACTAGTCTTGCTACTCTCTTGCTTCAATCTCTGTCCTAAGTTATAAAATGACTTCTTTTGGGGTTTTCTTTTCTATTTCTTTTGGGATCCTTTGGGATGAGTCAATAACATTCTCTAATGGAGATGATAAAGAGAGATTACTTACATAAAACCTTCAAGGTATTCACATCTCTCTCCTATCATCAACAGCTACCTAAAAACTTGGCAGCCTAGATCACTGATGTCTTTTTGAGACCATCAGCCAAAGTACCACTCAAAGCCCACATATTTAGCATAAAGTGCCAACACCGCAATTAAACCTGAACACAGAGGTTTTAGTTTAGGAAAACAACAACAACTCTACATTAACATCTTTTGTCTTGAAAGTAAAAGGTTTGTCACACCACCACTGGCCTAGACAAAGCTGTCCTGCCTATCACCATCCTTCCAAGATCAAACAGACTCACCAGCAGTGATAGTCATGCAGCGTCACAGAGGACTAGATCTGACTGCTAAAGCAAAAGAGTTATTTCTCTAAAAGAGAAATGTAGTTCAAGTGTCATTCATTTGAAACAGTGAGAGATGTAGCACAGAAAGTGGTGACCATGTTTCTAAGACCCACAAAGAACTAACTGAGTCACTGATCTCTTGGCCCAAATCTGGAATTGGGGGTCTTGGTTAATGTTGTGGATATGGCTTTTATTAAAGCTTCTTAGAACCTTATTATTTTGATCTTACAAACTTAATCTTTTAATCAAATTTGTTTCTTCTTATTTGACAACCATTAAACTACAGGTGATGGCTCTAGCCTAAAATCAGCACCTGCCTCCACGTTCATGGTTCATCCAGAAATCTTTGGAGGAAGAGTTCAGCTCTTCTGAATGCTTAGATCAGTCAGAGAGAGGATCTCTTGGTTTCTGGTACCCCTATTCAGCCAGAAGTAGCAATAAAAGATGTAATTTCTTCCTTGCCATCCTTTAAAAATTTGGGGGAATCAAGATCCTCAGGGGGTTAGAATCAGTGGAGCTGAGGAACTCATTTCTTTCCACCTACTTAATTCTAAAGTGCCCTACAGCCATTCCTCTTTCCATTGTCCTAAAAGAGGCAGAAAAAAAAAAAAAATAACAAAAAGCCAGTAGATTGTATTCTAGGCAAGAGCACATGTCTATTGGATCTCCTAGCCTGACATCAGCTACCTTCCACTACTCCCACCCCATTAAGGGTCCATAAATACTGTATGTGTTACATACCATATAGTATGTATAGTACTGTACAGCACTACACTATACTATACTATGTGTACTATATGATATATAGCACATGTAATTAAGATCAGAGTGAATTCTGGGATAGGCATGTGTTGAAAGCCTCTAATATAACTCAGCACTCTGTCAATTGTTCCTGTCAAGCACACCTAGAGATTCAAGGGAAGGCTCCTGGGTTGGAATGCGGATCTTTTAAATTTCTAAAGCCTTCTTTATCTGAGGCTATTGCTGTTTCTATGTACTGTCCTTGTCACCATTTTTCCATCTGTAGGTTATATTTTGTTGGCGTGGACTTGCCCTGAGCACAATGTGATCATCAATAAATGTAGGTGCTCGCTACTTGGTACTTGGTGCACACTTGCGATTGATTGCTCAGCATCACAAGAGCCTAAACTACCCCTGTTCATTCCATGTTAATTATAGATTATTAAGCTCAGTGATCAGAATACAGCCAAAGAAATCTGTGCCAAGAGGCATCAGAACCAAAAGTCTGACAATTAAAGACAAAGAAGAGGCAAGAATAGTGGCACACACCTATAATTCTAGTACTTAAGAGGCTGAGGCAGAAAGATTGCTGTTGGTTTGAGCCTATCCTGGGCTACATGAGGAGTCCAGTCTGACCTCTGAACTATCTAGTGAGACCCTATCTCAAACAAACAAACAAAAAATTCCTAAAGACTAAGAAAAAAATCATAAAAGCAAGAACAACACTTTAGCTGTGGGTGAAGCGCAATTCCAATGGCATCAGATTTCTCATCAGAAATCACAGAGGCCAGGAGGAAAGAGCACAAAATTCTCTGAAGACTCAAGAGAAAAGAAAGTCAGCTGCCAATCCTGTATCTAGCAAAACTCATCTTCAGGAAGGAAGGAAGGAAGGAACCCAAATGTGAAAAAAGCATGGTGATCCAATTGTGCTGGAATATAATAAGGTCCTTGCAAATTCCTAAAGGAAACCCAAGGAGGTATTGACAACCTTGAGAATTGCTGTATTTTTTAAAGAATATTCAAGAGATGAATTATGATTTCTTAGTCTTTTTTAATAGAAAACATTTTCTTTCCTGCATAAAGCCTATCATTTTTATACTCAGAGACCTAGTATTTCAAGCAGGAGGATCATCCGAGCTGAGAACTTGAAGGTCAGCCCTGGAAACACAGTGAGACACCTGCTCAAATATTAAAAAAAAAAAAAAAAAAAGACCACAACTTACCTCAAATGAATATGCTTTTCCAATGCCATCACCTGCTCCAGTGATAACTGCAAACAGCAGGAACAGTTTTAAACAATTGCATTGAACTTCTCTTAAAATTACATTGAGTTTGGATTTCCCAGGACCCTGCAATCCCTTTGAAAGTTTCAGTATCCTCTTTGCTAGGTCCTCTGTATTCCACAAGTTCCCACGGTGTGGGGGTGAAAGGAAGGCAAACTTAACCTTTAGATAGAACCTTAAAATATTCTTAGTATGAATGCTGCGCCTGTGGGGAGAGAGAGGCTACTGGCCCACAGGCTATACCTTTTCTCGTAACAGCATTACAACATTCAGTATTGCAAAGCAGCCAGCACTACTCCACTCTGTGTAAGGATTGATTGGGACATGACTCTCCCAGTACCCAACCCATCTGCCAGCAGAGGCATTGTTCTCAACTCAGAACTGGTGCCCTCCACAAACACAGGACACCACAAAGGAGACTAGATGGAGCAAGGAATCTCCCAAACATCCAGGCTTCCAAAGACATCTGAACATTTATACACACTGGGTACCTAAAGGACTTGGCCTACTGGGGCATGAAGCATCCAGACAACTTTGACCACCAAGATTTACTAAGGTCTTTCCATCTACTGTCCCATGTTCTGTTTCTGGGGCTATTAAAAGAAAAAGTCTGCTTCTCTTTGCTCCCTACAGATGGCCTTTTCGCACTCTGTCTGCCATCACCCAGGCACAAGAAATTTCATCCCATGCTGCCTTTACACAAGCCTGGTGGTCTCAGCTGGCCTCTGCCTTACGCCGTTCCTTACACAAGCAATTCTGAAATCCCCAGTCCTTGATTACCTCTCATTAAATATTAAAAATTAACAGTAATTGTTGTGTTGTTTGGTTTGGTTTGGTTTTAGTTTTGTTTTTTAGAGACTGGTGAGACTGTAAAAAACATACTCTAAAATGCGACAAAGAATCTCAACCAAGTAACATTTTATCCTGACTCCTCAGGATTTAGATAATGTAAGCCTCAATCCATCAGTGGTAAGCATTGTTCCCTTTTATCTCTCCCTACAGGCTCAGTGTTCATCCCAAGAATATTTCAAGGTTCTTTCTAAAGGTCAAATTCTGCCTTCCTTCCACCCCCACCCTACAGGATAGCCTATGGAAGATACAGGACCTAGCAAAGAGGACACCAAAGTCCCGAAGGGATTGTAGAATCTGTACTCAACAGAACTCCTTTGTTATACAGCACTCCAGTAGGTCTTCTAGAGTTTTTCTGTTCAACAGTGCATGCATATTTAGTGATGAAGTTCTAAGATAAACCTCATTCCTGTGCCACTCCAAAACTCACTGCAATTCAGTACACACACACACACACACACACACACACACACACTGCATTTGATCTTTGAATTAGCAATCAACAGGTATGTGTTTAAGTATGAACAAAAACACGTTATCTTACTTCAGAATAGGTACAGTCCAAGATGTACAACCTCAAGCAGTGCACCAGCAGAAGTTCCCTCTGTTCAATAATTACTCCTCATTGTATCTGCTTCTGAAGGATGTTTTTGTGTGGATGGATGCACATTATGCATTTTGTTTAGAAAAGAGACTGTGTTAGACTTCTCTTGAGTCCTACCTTCTCCTCCACCATGCGTGAGTTAAATTAGGGCTGGAGTGAACTGGACAACCAAGTAGGAAGAATGTGTCAAAGGTCACAAAAATCCAGAAGACTTACACAGAACACAGGACAAAATCACTTGATGGCTCCTGAGCACTGTACATGAACAAGTCAGAAAGTGCTATTTTAATCTGATGGGAAACCAGGCAAGTCTATTACTAAGGTAATATAAATCTAGTGCCAGGCAGGGTGAGCTTTGGTTAGGACACACTTATCTTAGTGCCTTATTTGAATGATGAGGAAGCCAAACCAAGAATTTTGGATACAAGACACCACTTTTCCTTATCTCCGAAGCTGCTATAAGTCTTCCCAGAATCCTGCTGTCACCCAGTAGCATGCACCTCTTTTATGCTTACAATAAATGTATGCATTTGCTGCCTTTTCTGTGTGTCTTGTCAAGTTCTTTGTTCAGGACAACAAGAACCTGGAAAGAAGTCCCCCACACAAACCATCTGGGAATCTTCAAGATCACCCCGTACAATGGATAGAGTATAATTTAGATTTGAGCACGCATAACGACCACTAACAGCTAACTAGTGATTACTTTATGCCATGTGAGATTTCAAGTGGATAAGTTGTATTACTCCAGTTAATGCTCAAAACAAGTTTTATGATTCAGGGACCCACATTATCTTAATTGATACGTAAAGAAGCCCCAGGAGAGAAAGTTCTTAACTCTAACAGGCCTCACTGCTAAAAATAGTGACAAAAATTTTGAACTCAGGCTAATTTTGGGGGCCCCAAGTCTAAGAAAATATACCAATTAAAATAATTATGAAATCTAGCATAAGCTCAGGAAGTTTAACAATTCAGTCTCTAGTAACTAGGTTTTCTTATTAGCCTGCACTTGAGGTATATCATCTCTTTAATGACTGTGTCTAAAGACATTTTAGTCTTGAAAATGACAAAAATCAAGACTCAGCCTTGATTCATAAAAACAGGTTAAGATTATATTTTTCACTTTGAGTGCACCAATGGCCTGTCTCTATCCCCATCTGACTTCTTTTGGCATGTGTACTCTCAGACCTGGGTCCTAGGTTAGTGGATAATCGCTGTGCAAATTTCAAGTCCTCTCAGCACATGGCCTTCAAATCCATGGAGCAGGGCACCAAGCTCCACAACACTCAGGCTCAAGCCACTTAGAAAGTTCACTGGAGACAGCATACTACTGGCCTGAGCAAGAGGTACACACATGGGCACGCGTGCACACACATTCACACACACACCCCAAATGTTAGAAGGATTTTTTTTTGGCTCCAAATGCCTTCAGGGCAGGTTTGGCTGGCTTGAGTTGTGGGGATCGAACCACAGCAACCTGAGCCTGACTGCTTTGTTGAAGCAGCCACTTAAAGAACTGAGCTGAGGGGCAGGCACCCCACCAAATGTTAGAAGCATCCATTATAAATCCATCACCATTTCTAAACAATTTCTCTTATGGTCACATAAAAAGTTTTCAATGCTAATCCAGTTTTAACAACTGAGGATACAAGAGCTCCAGCTAACTTGAATTTTAGCATGATATACCCAAATTGTAATGTACCAAAAAAATATTTTTTGCTAATCTGAAATTCATAGTCAGTACTCTTTGTTTTATTGTAATGGGGATTATAATCTGGGTATATCACGCTAAAATTAAAGGTGTTGTTATTTCCTTTTTAGCCTGGATGTTATTCTTTTTTTTTTTTTTTTTTGGTGGAACCGGGGATTGAACTCAGATTCTTGTGTTTGCCAGTCAAGCGCTTATCCTACTGAGCCATCTCCCCGGCCCCTCTTTTCTTTTTTAACTACATGTTATTTCTAAAGCTGTTTACTTAAAAAAATCTTTTCATTAGTACATGTTTGCACTACATAATGATTACATTTATCATGGAGAAGTTTGTACATATACATAATACATCTTAATTCTTTTTTCATTCCTTCCCTGCCTCCAACTGTTCTTAATTTTTAAATTTTTGGATCGATAGAGTGATTGATTGGTTGTCTGATTAATTGATTGATATTGACATCCCTTTTAAATATAAGTCACTGGAGAAAATTTAGCTTTTCCCTCAAGGCAATACTAAAACCCTGATCTTAACCCTAGACTGAAATTCTGCACAATGGTTCCAGTTGATAAATCCCATTGAAAGGAAGCATTTAATTACTGCAAACCAGACCTCAATTCTGCATCTAATCATCTTGAAAATGGGACCTCAGAGATCTTTGTTGCCTTGACTTTGCAACTCCCTCCCTTCTTAACGAGGCTTAGATAATTTCTTTCTAATAAAGTAAATTAACCTTCTTTGGATATCAAACTTTTGAAACACCTTTTAGCAAAATGGAAGCACCCTAAGTTTTAGAAATCTGGAGATGTAGAAACAAAAATTTCTGACTCATTTATCATTTGCATGACTAGAAAAAAAAAGAAGACGCTCAGCTAGCAAGGTTGAAAAGATATAGGCAAGAGTTGAGGAGGCTTCTTTCTTAGTTACTCTCCTTAGTTACTCATTTTGTTTTTTACAATTTTATTTTTTTCTCTTTAGTCCCATAAATGAATTAAATTAAATTTAAAACCGAACTCCCAAAAGAATTACATCTCTGCAGTCAGTATATCAGATGCAATGTATCTTGCAGTATACCAGATGCAATACATCTTGTGAACCCTAAGAATAGACAAGACCAACCAAATGAATAAAGCATAGTAGGAAAGCCCTCCTTACCTGCCCACTGTCCCATAGATGGCAAAAAAGATGGAGGCACAGTTTCCCTGAAGCTCAGAAAAATACATTTAGAGAATCTCACACACTTCACCAGGAAGAACAGGCACACCAGCAGCCCTACAAGAATGAAGAAGTGATCCAGAGCCTCCTCCATGGCTACTGCTCCACAGCAGAAGCTGCTTCCAGTCTGGCCCTGGCTGCCACCTCTGGCATCCAGGGGTGGGGCCACCTAAGGCCATCCCTTTCCTTCCAGAAGCCAGGATACATTCCATTTACTCAGAGGCATTTAGATAGGCTCCGTCTTTTGCACAGCCCTCTGGCTGACAGGCTTCTGAATGAAGTATTCTTCCTGTTATCTTTATAGCACTGGATGTCCTCTCTTAGTGTATCTTTGGTGGTGAGGAAAAACCAAACCCTGACAAAGAAAAGATGGCAACCTTGGGTTCTTTTCTTGGATTGAAAGACTGCTATGGATTGGCTCCCAAAAGTTCATGTATTGGAAGCTTGGGGGTGGGTGAGTAATAGAGTCATTAAGAACCTAAGCCTACAGTACTTCATTAAGTCACTGGATGGAAAGAGTGCCCTCACAGGGGAATATTGGACAACTGGAGAGAGTTCTTCCAAGACCAAGTTGTTACAAAGGTCTGACTCTGACCCCTAAGTATGAATCCTTGACTTTTCTGTTTGGACAGATGGTCCCTGCCACGCATATGCACTGTCATCATCTCCAATCTAACATCTGATGGCACAGCTCAGGAAGCCCTTATCAGAATCTACACATGGTTGTTCTTTCAGCATGCAAAGCTTGACTACCTAAGCCTCTTTTCAAATAAAGTTAGCCCACCTTGAGTATTTTGTTCAGAACTTAGATTGGGTATCAGAAACAGACAATAAGAAAATCAGATAATCTCAGGCATGAGTTATGGGTGATGCCATGTTATAGTAACTAGTCAGCAGATTCTTTGGAAGGGGTTTCATACAGGAATTCTATGACAAGGTGACCTTTAAGGTTGAAATTTGAGTGAAAAGGAGTCAATCCTGCAAATATGAAGTTCTCTTCAGGCTGATGAGTCAACTAATTCACAGCCTGAAGAGAGCTTCATATAAATTATTTTGAATAGTGAAAACAAGAGCAAGAAAACAAAAGCAAAGACAGAAATAGGGTAACATGTAACAATACAAACGTTACAGATTTTCGGAACAAAAATAGCTGATTAACAGTGATTGATATGTTATCTATTTTTATCATCAAATCTGTTGCTCAGATTAACAGATATAGTTATGCAAGATGGGACATATGATCGAATATTACCACATGCTTTCAAGAAACATTAAATTTTTATTCTTGACTTTCATTTTCTTTTATTACCTTTTTTTAAAAGGTAATACTTTAAAGAGAGTATAATAAGAATTGAAACAACATTAGAAACTGTGTACATTTAGAAGACCAAGATGACAGGTATTTCAAACATAGTTTTAGTATTACACATTGCTGTTCTCAATGTAGTTGTTTAGTTCACAGATAATCAACAGAGAGAATTAGTCAGAGTGTGAATTCTACCCATTAACTGCTATTTTCAAAAATCTGATGGAAATTCTTAGGACTATTGCCTTATCTAACTTGTATATACATGTACGGTTTTAAACCTACCTTATTTCCTAACTTTTCTCCTTTCTCTCTCTTCGTTGTTTAATCCTTAAATTCCATTTCTTTCCATTTAACTGTGTCTGTTATACATTTCAGTTTTTATTTCTTTTTTTTGAGTTCTTAGACTAGGGATACAAGATGATATTTACACATATGTGTCTAGCTTATTTCACTTTTGAGTATAGCCTCAAGTTGCATCCACTCACCTCCAAAGGCTTCAAGTCTGTTTTTCTTTATAACTGAGTACTACTCCACTGTATAAAACTACCACATCTTTTTCATCCATTCCTAAGGTGACGGGCATTTTGGTTGTTTCCAAGTTTTGGTTATCACAAATTGTGCTGCTATTTAAACCAGCTATTCCTCTACTGGGAATTTTTCCAGAGGATCTGAAAACATCATATCATAGGGACATATGTGTGCCTATGTTTATAGCAGC